GACTCAGCTACCAACAGGAAGTGTGACCAAGAGCATAGTTACTTACCAAAACGCACTTTCCAAATTCCTCTCTGAGCCACTCTAGCAACTACTCTGAGCTTTCCCCACTTTCTATGGAAGGAAATGAGGAATGGGGGGCAGAGGAGAGAAATTACCCTTGCCATCACCCCCTAACTGGCAGGTAAACCCTATCTACCATAATCAATGTTGCCTCCCCCAGCTATTCAACCCTCATAGTTACAAAAGGCAAAGAGAAACTCTTCTCTCCGTTCCTCAAAACTGTTTTTTGAGGGTTTGGAAAGGTTGATCTTAGTTTCTGCACCTCTGCAAAAAAATACCCCTGAGATCTTCTCTGAGGCAAACCCAGCTGGGATCCCAATGCCATTTTAATCTGCAGATTAGATCACACAGCTCCCTTAAGGAGGGTTCAGATGTCTCCATTAATCATCCATGTAGACCCATGAGTTTACAGAATACCTTCCATTCAAAGCTACAGCAACCAGGGCCTTAGAGGCTGTTGGCACCAGCTTCCTAGCACAGAGACAGGAACCACCTCAGTGGGTCCAGCTGTGCCCATTTACTTGACTGGGTGCAGTAAATGAGGCCGTGGCAAATACGCCCAACATTTTCAGGGTTTTGGCTGCTCAATGCTCCACTACACCTAGCTACTTCATCATTTTTATTCTGCTTCCAAATCTATCCCTACCTCCTACTACAATTACTTTGCCCTCTACACCTGTCCTAGTCCCTTGTGTCTTTCCCATGTACTGGGTTCAGCCTCCTAACCTAGCTTCTCACCCTGGACACCTTACTCTGGGCTCTTGATTCCTGAATTACTTCCTAACTTTAAGGCCTAGATTAAGGACCAGCCCCTAAGGCACACAGCCCATGTCCTAGTTCCCTAGTGCTAAGCCCCTCTGGCTGCAGTCACAGAACCATAGAAAATTAGGGTTGGAAGGGACCTCAGGAGGTCATCTAGTACAGCCCCCTGCTCAAAGCAGCACCATCCCCAACTAGATCATTTCAGCCAGGGCTTTGTCAAGCCGGGCCTTAAAAACCTCCAAGGATGGAGGGTTTCTATTACCTCTCTAGGTAACCCGTTCCAGTGCTTCACTACCCTCCTAGTGAGAACATTTTTCCTAATATCCAACCCAAACCTCCCTTGCTGCAACTTGAGACCGTTGCTCCTTTTTCTGTCACCAGCCACCACTGAGACCAGTCTAGCTCCAGCCTCTTTGGAACCCCCTTTCAAATCCCGTTTTCTTTTCTCCAAACTAAATAAACCCAGTTCCCTCAGCCTCTTCTCAGAAGTCACATGACCCAATCCTCAAACCATTTTCATTGCTGTCTGCTGGACTCTCTCCAATCTGACCACATCCTTTCTATAGTGGTGGGCCCAACACTGGACAGTACTTTAGGTGTGGCCTCACCAGTGCAGAATAGAGCAGAATAATTACTTCCCTCGATCTGCTGGCAATGTTCCTACTAGTGCAGCCCAGTATGCTGTTAGCCTTTCTGGCAACAAGGGCACACTGCTGATTCATTTCTATCTTATTGTCCACAGTAACCCCCAGGTCCTTTTCTGCAGAGCTGCTGCTTAGCCAGGGCCCGGGCTGTAGCAGTGCATAGGATTCTTCCATCCTAAATGCAGGACTTTGCACTTGTCCCTATTGAACCTCAAGAGATTTATTTTGGCTCAATCCCTCAATTTGTCTAGGTCGCTTTGAATCCTTGTCCTGCCCTCCAGTGTATCTACTACATTCCCCCACCAGCTTGATGTCATTCACAAACTTGCTGAAGGTTCAACAACCCCATTATCTCCACACTAAACAGTGCCTCACTGATCTCTTCTAGCGTCGTTTCACCATCTTCACCTCCTTCCAAATCTCTACTAGAAACCTACAGTCCCTCACTCCTATTCGTCTCTCTTGGTGTATCAGTTGCATTTAACTCCGCGCATCATTGTGGAGCACAGCTCAATACCTTTATCCTTCTGTTCTGCCCATCTGTTCTACTCTGTGCTCACCGTGTTCCCCCTGTGTAGAATTTTAAATGCAGATGTCAATAGCAAAACATCACTGCACAAGGCTTGGAGCAGTTTCTCTAGGATCTGAATAAAACGAATCTCGTTGTGCATTGGAAAGGCCATCTGATATGCATCAGGCAGTGGATCTGTCCTAGGACCTGTATGTTTGACAGCCATACTACGAACATTACTTACAAAAGGAAGGCAGGGAGAGGAATACAGTACAGTCACACCATTTAACTTGCGCGAATTCAACTATACGCGGGGGTGGGCCTTGACTTTGCAGCGGCGGTGGGAGGTTTTGGCAGCGTGGTGGCGGCCTGGCGGCACGCAGCCATCCCCACCACCACCCCACGCTGCTCTGCGGCAGCGGTGACAGGAGGTTTTGGAGGCAGAGGCAGTCACCGCTAGTCAAATCACTGGCGATTTGACTATATGTTATTTTCGCCTTACGCGCTGACCTCAGAACCTAACCCTTGCGTAAGCTGCAACATGCCCGTATCATCGTTCCACTTTTGTAATGTAGTTAGATGGTCTTGGCTTTCTGACAGCCTTTGGATTATGCAAGCAAAGTTATGGAAACTATCTAAAAATCTAAATGCATGATCAATTTCAAGTTATAAAATTCAACAGCATGTTAAGCCTTTGCAGAAAGTAGTATTGGTCTCTCTCACTCCACGTAAACCCTGTTTTCCACCTGGCTCTCTCATCACCATTGGCAACCCCTCGCAATCAAGGATAATTGTCTTCTACGATTGCCTTATCTGTGGGTCTGAAGATGACTGACAAAATCAATCCAGGATCAACAGATACTATTGCAAATGAGGCACATGTTCCTGTGTTGGGTAGGTACCTCTGGATTCTTGATTTGGTCCACCACATGCTGG